GGGAGGCGGGAGGGAGGCGGTGGCGGCGGCTCTGCCCATCGCCAGGGCGGCGGCCGCCCAGCCGGAGCCCGCCGAGACCCGCGCGGGCCGCTCCGCTGCCGGCGCCCCCCATGCGCGGGGGTCGCTCCGCTGGGTCCTCGGCCTTGGCGGCGGCGGAGCAGGAGGCGGCGGCGGCGCAGGACGGGCGGCTGCGGGCGGCGGCGCGGATGGAAGGTCCCCGGGTGGATGTTTGCTGAGCGGAGGCTGTGCAGTAGGCAGGGCTGGTGGGTCGGCCGGTGTTTCTGATCCGTGTGTGTGCGTGTGCGTGTGTGTGTGTGTGTGTGTATGCGTGTGTGTGTATTGTTGTGTGGCGCACGGGCAGGACTGGCGTGTGCGGGAGCCCGGGATCGCGGCTCTGCTTCCTCTGCGAGGACTGATCCAGGATTATGGTCAGGGTGAAGGGAGAAGGCTCTTGCTTACCCCCGGATTGATTATGCTCGGGTTTTGGTAGCATTCGGGGGTTCCTGCAGCCGCGGCCGCCTCCCCCTCCCTGGCGGCCCCCCTCCCTTGTTTTCCGTTAGAAACACGGGCAAGAAAATAAATGTATTCACTGGGTGTCGCAAGAGCAAAGGCTAAATAATCAAAGGTAACAGCAGCAGCCAGGCGAAGAGACCCGCACCGTACCCTGCTCCCCCACCTCCCAGACCTGCCCTCCTATTTATTGGCGAGACCTCCCTCCCTCCCTCTCGGTGCGAGTGCGTTGAGCGAGTGTTTGATCCCGGGAAAAGTGCAGCTATCCAGCCATGGTGGTTTTCAATGGCTTGCTGAAAATCAAGATCTGCGAGGCGGTGAATCTGAAACCCACGGCGTGGTCTCTGAGGCATGCAGTGGGTCCCAGGCCACAGACCTTTTTGCTGGACCCTTACATCGCCCTCAATGTGGATGACTCCAGGATCGGGCAGACCTCGACCAAGCAAAAGACCAACAGTCCTGCTTGGAACGATGAATTTGTCACCGACGTTTGTAATGGCAGGAAGATAGAGATGGCTGTTTTCCATGATGCCCCCATCGGGTACGACGATTTTGTAGCTAACTGCACTATACAGTTTGAGGACTTGCTGCAGAACGGGAGCCGTCACTTCGAAGACTGGGTAAGTGTTCACGCTGTAGATACATACATGTACATACGATTTTCAGTGGCATGGCTCTGGATGCAACATCTGTCTTGCAGAGCTAGGTTACCAAGGGCATGTAATGCCTCTGAAGGCTTTTCATTATTTCCACACTTTGTTATACTGAGATAGTCATGGTTACTATATAACTAATGCATGTTATCTACAGGCGAGGCAGGAAAGAAAAATATGTTGAATCTAAGTAAGAGGTATGTAGTTACCTCGCAAGTTTCTGAAATTATGTGACATAAATACAAATCTAGTTGTCTTAGTGAGTCTGAAGAACTCAAACCAAATGCGTCCATAACAAACATTACAGCAAAACCCAGATCCAGCGCTTAGTTGAGTTTCATAATTTCAGGGTGAATACTCTTGGTTAGCCTGGCAATGATGAACCTTAAAAATCCAGACCTGACCTCTGATACGAGGCACCTCAGGGTCTTCCTGTCACTTGAGAGCTCACTGCATCAATACTGATGCTCCTCCTTCCTTCCTTCAGATGATCAGCCCCTCTATGCGTAGCTCTAACGCAATGCTTCTTCAAATGCTCAAGACTGGTGAAAGGGTCCTAGTGGAATTTGGGCCCAACTAGAGAAATTCTGTTGTCTGTACACACAACGTGCCTTAACAGCTTTCACAGCATCTTTAAGACCCAGAGGCTAACAGTGCCTCAGTGGGAGTACAAAAAAGCTGGAAAATCCTTGCTCTGATATCCTCAGGTATTGTGATTTAACAGGGAGAAACTAATCAAACAATGAAGAAACAGGAAATGTGAATATGCACATTTCACATTTCTGCAGTTAACAGTTAAATGGTGGATATCCTTTAAATGAGATGTATAATGAAACAATAGTAGCTATCATCTCATTTTCAGTGTGCCCTGCTCAACCAGCCATCTGAAATTATATATGCTCATCTTTTTATGTATTTATTTTTCATGGTCAAGGATACTAGCTAGTAGTTTTTTGGCAAACAGACAAAGAACCCAGGACCAAAGAAAAAATAGCTAGGGTTAATGGGTCTGAGTTTTATGTATTCTTTGGGGCTTCTTTGCTTAATACAGTTATGTAGAGATGGGGAAATGATGAAAGAGCATGAAAGAATTAGACTCTATTTATGCTGATTAGTAGCTGATCAACTTTGCTGTTAAAACTTTTATGTTTACAACTTTAAAGTATTTTTCATTTTTGCTGCCTGTGTGTTGTATTGTGGTAATCAGAGTCTAGATTATTCTGATGCTCTATAAAAGCTACAAATTAGTAAGCTCAAATGTTAAAAGTGGAAAGGAGTGGATAGGAGGAAAAATAGCTATAACAGGAAAAGACAAATGCAGCAGTATTGCAGATGTCTTTTACCTGTATTGAATGATAATCAAGTTGGGACTCTCCTGAAATCAAGTGAGGTTTCATCTTTGAGACCAGTAGGATGAGGAGATCTGCACAGATTTGTAGTGAAAGAATAGTAATTTTGTATGTTCTTTTTGTGCATGGTACATGTTGTGAGTTTGTCACCAAATCTGGAAGAACCTTGCAGATTCCAGATGCCTGGTTTGAATTTTGGTGGGACTGCAGTGCATCCTGGCTCTGATATTTAAGCTGAACTCAAATGTCTGAACACATTTCCTAGGTAAACAGTGGAATTTAACAGGTTGAGGTCCATTGTAAACAGGATCTGTGAGGAACTAGATAGCTGAATCAGATAAATGCTGGCTTTTATTGCATCAGGATTCATTGCTGTCCAGCATTCAGTGGCTGGGAGGAGATGAGGGAGTGACTACGCTTGTTGTCTGTTGATGTGACAGAATCGAGGACATGGCAGTGGATCATAACTGGTCAGCTCAATGAAATGCAGCTTCTGAAACATCACTTTTTTTGTACTGTAAATCCTTACCATTAGGATTGTGTTCATGTACTACAAAAACAACATACACCTCCCCCTGTATCACAGTTAGACTGGGGGGGGGGTGGGGTGGTAAGTGTTTATAGGGTTGTGCTTTACCCTTTCCAAAATCTTCCTGTTTACTGAGTGTATCACTGTAATTCTAATTCTGAGTGTGTTTACTTGATTAATAGATAGGGACCTTCAAAGAACTGGCTCTTACAGAATCACACTGGTTTTGGGTCTTTTTTCATTGAGTTACAAGAAGACCTGTGGTCATGACATCTCTGTAGAGTCCACACTGAAGTAAATAGATTTATTGGTATCTTCATCAGTGTCTAGAGTCTGTATTAAAACCTGAAAAAGAAGTTGTCTGCAAAGTGAATGGGTTTCACACTACAATGAAAATGCACATGGTCTAAACCAACATTGGGCTAAGATCTGCTGGTATGATACAGTCAGTTTTTTCTGTCTTGTAAGAGGACTAGTTCCTTCGTTTCACTCTTGGCATTTAAGGCTGATATTTTTGTAGTACTCTTTCTGAATTCTGTAACAAGCAAATTAAAACCAGCAATCACAGTGACCCATTCTTCTTTACTGCCTGAAATATCAAATAAATGCAGCCTACACACTTGAAACCCACTTGAAGACCATCAAGCCTTTTTACGCCTTTCTGAAGGTTTCTCTTTAAGCAGTCCTGAAAGTTGGAACTGGGTACCAAGTACTTGCTGAGTGTGATCAGAGTAATTACACTGCTGCCCCTCCTTACCTTCAGCATGATGCAACAGTTACTGCAGGACTGGACAGTCACTGCTGAAAGAGGATTGAGAAAATGTTCATGTGCTGAGAACAGGTCTTGTAAACATATTAATAGCTTTAATGCTTTTGATCTCATATAGTACTGCATGGGGTTTCTTTAAGGAAATTTCAGAATTTGTTTTATAATATCTGCGCTAGGGTCAAGGTTATGTTTCTAGGTTTCTAGGTTCTTGTCAGAAGTCCCAAATGCAAAAAAGATTGACAAAAGAAAAATTATTTTATTGGGCTTTTTTCCCCTAAGAGGAAACTGTTTCTCATTTTAGCCAGATCACCAAATTTGATTGACTTTTGCCATTGTTCAAATCCTTATATTTTTTTCTCAGATGAATTTTTTAGGAAAATGCTGGATATTTTTCTCACTCTTAAGCCTGTGCTATATACGGATGCCATGGTTACAGTGGAAACACTAATGATAAACAAGTACAAAGCTTGAAATCACGATAATGTCTACTGTATTAATACAAGTCAGATAGATATGCAAAATCCTGGTTCCTTTCATCTACAGAGTGTTCAGCAGTTGCATTTAACCTTATGACACATGTACTCCCTGAATATATATATATATATATGTATATGTATAATTTTTCTTAAATTATTCAAAGTTGTGGCGTGAAACAGTGATTCAGAGTTTACTGGATGAAAGCTTTAAAAAAAATACATAGTTTTGTGGGGGTTTGGTAAGATCAATAGAAAACACTTGTTTAGGTTTCTAAAATAGGTATAGTGACAATTAAAAAGATGGCTGCTTTTCCAGTAGTGCATCAATACAGACATAGCACAGTAAAAGTGTCAGTTTTGCAGATTTTTTTAGTCATGGTTACACTGCAGTTTTAAAGACAGCTTTGGATTTATGACATTTCAGGCTTTTTGTAAGTGCAGAAAATGTCATACAGAATGGCACTGAGTATTCAAGAGGATGCTGGTGAACTTACTCTTTGAAAAACAAAAAATACAGAACAACAAACAACTTGCAAGTTCTGATTGAAAAACAAACTAGCAACTTGACAGCTCTGGCTATATTTTTTTGAGTTAGGTAATTCAGGTAATAATAAAGTATGTTTTTATCTAGCTTTCTTACATGTGGCATATGTAAATGATTCACTTGAGTTGGCATTGCAGCTACATTTTAATCAGTGGAATTGAGATCAGGAAGGAAAATTCCATTGATATTTAGCCGTGTGGTTCCACTCCTGCAAATTATCATGATCAATGTTTATGTGTGTGGATGATTGGTAGTATGGGTTCTGAGTTCAAGTCCACTTTCCAGAGTTGATGACAGATGAAATCAGCATGATTGGACCTATGCCAAAGATTCCATCTAAGGGTCTTAGCCATTAGCCTGGCAGTACATGAGAAAACCTATTGAGTTGTCCTAAGAAATCCTTTTGCTGGCTGAGTAGCAGAACTCACTAAATCAGTGAGAACATCAGAACATTTAACAAGAAAAGCCTCTATTTCCACTGAAAATAATTTACAGCTATATTTAGGTTAATGAAAGAGATTTAATTTTCTGCTGTCTTAAAAAAAATCCCTTATGCTATCAGGAAAAAAAATAAAACAGATTTTAGTGAGCTTTTCTTTGCTAAAATATCTTCCATACTATTTCTCTTCTTTCAGTGCATCTTCTTCAGATCAAATTTAAAACATTATAGTATTTTGAAAGCATCCTTTCATATTTCCATTTTGCCAATGTGAAGTTAGTACTGTGCCACCATTGTATAAAGAAAGTTTATTATGAAATATCTCAGTAGCAAGTGGATGATGAGTTATAGGAAATGGCATGGGGAAGAAGTTGCAGTCTATACAGTTAAACACCTAGGTTATCTGAGTTCTGAATGTCACCCAAAAGGCAGTAGCAGGGGAGGAATTAAAGTGCTTCAGTGTCCTTGGTCCTGTGAGCTGTCCATGCATGTGAGAAGTAGAACTGTCTCTTTCCAGTGCATCTAATCTGAATGAAATGGAAAGACTGCTTAGTTGCCTTTTTTTTTTTTTTTCCCTTTTTCCTTCTTTTAATGCTATTTCTGTTTTTGGAATGGGAACTCCTTTCAGTCAGCAGGTGATCTGTTGTAGCTGGCAGACAGAGAATGGAATTGTCATCATTGTAGTGCAGGTCACCCTGTGTGTTCACCTCTGCTTGTGCTGTGCACTGCTGAGGGCTGGCATTGGGCTGGCAGAAAGTGACTGTAGCATATTTTCATTTTTATTTTCATCTGCTGACTGAATTTATTTGTTCTGATGGTGCTGAAAGGCCTAGGATTTCACTTGCAAAAACTTTAGATCTC